GAAAGAGTTTTCAGTGCTTGGAATTATATCAAATCTAACCTAAAAAACGATGAAATTTGACCACTTAAATGCTATCGTGCCATTAAAATTCGGCCTGGTGAGACTAGAGAAATAAGCCTACTGTTCCACTTATAAAGAAATTTGAACAGCTAAAGCATACCAGGGTCATTTTGGATCTGAAACTTCAACTTCATTATCCAAGCAAAGTTTATCCTGTGGATCTTGCGAGGCAGACATCAGTGAAGGTGAGGACATGATTATGTAGGGTAAGTCATAACAAAAGCTATGTAATTTTTGACTTTTTCAATTTGGATGTTTTTCTAGATCTTTTCCACGCAGATTTAGATCTTTTTAGATATTTTTTGACACCGTTTTGGATCTTTTTTGTCAAAGAAAAGTGGCAACACTGTAGTTTACTAGCATTAGGAATCTAGCAGACGGAGATACCTCGATCGGTTTGATCGATGGTCTGTCAGTAAACTTTCCCTAAAACCAGGTAAAAGTCACTAAAACAACATTGAAGTATAATAATTATGTTTACTAGATACTTAAACGTGTAAAGGATTGAAATATATATCAAGAAAAAACGCATTGATTTACTCCAGTAAAAATATGATTTGGTTTCTAAATATAGACGGTTGAGTATGGTGGGCGGCCAACTAAAAGTAAAAGATCATAAAGGTAAAAACTTTCTGCTTTTTTTTTAAACAGTGTTACTTTGTTTCGACTGTTATTTTCGCTAACTTGTTAAAATATTATTATACATTAACAAAACGACCTACATTGGACTGCCGGTTACTTCATAAACGTTTTATTATGTCCCAATGTAATTGCATATCTGACATTCTCATCATCCTTGGGATTTCTTCTTCTTCGTGTTCACCAGCAGTAAACTCTGGCGGAAAGTTCTGGTTGTTCATCCACTTCTGGACTGCAGTCCTGTTCCAGAACCTGAGTGTTTCATGTGCAACCGTTTTACAGACCTGGCTTATTTATATGCAGACTGCTGGTTCCTTGCTTCTCAGGCAGATGCTCTCTGACTATAAAGGGAGCTCCAAGTTTAGTCGATTCTTAGGCTTACCACATGCTTTTAGGTAGGCAGTGGGTCTGTTTTTGTTTTTGCCTATAATAGGGCCCTACCCATACAGGGACCTTGGGGTGTTAATCCTACAAACTGCAATACTAGGGGAATTTTAGAACACAACTGTTTGATTTTCTGCATTTGTTTTAATTACTGTGTTCAGGTTTTTTTTTTAATTACTGTATTGAACACGTATTTTAATTCTTCAGATTCTTGTATTTGACTGTTTTAGTTACTTACATGTAAATGCTGTTTTAATTGCAGTATTCAACTGTTGTTTTAATTAATTAATTATTAGAAAAAAAATTTAATTCCCTTGTTGGTATAATGTAGGCTTAGCTGAAAGATTGTAAAGCGTACCCAGGCTCAGCTAGTTTTGCGGTTCAAATCCCTGCATAAGAATAGGCATTTTGGCTATTAATTTAGTTACTATGTGTAACTACTAGTTAGTTGAGTCTAATTTTATGTATCGAGAATATACTTTTAAAGACAGATGGATAGAAGTTGAAAAATGGACTCCAGTGGTACCTCAGTGAAGCATGTATGTCAAGCTGAGAGTTTCACATTTTAGTGACAGGAGCTTGTATATATCATTACATGGGGCGTATACTTAGATGTGTATTAATCTTTTCCTGCCTAGTACAAGTCTAATGCTCATATTTTTTTTTTTTCTGATATGTAATCTGTTTCTATGATAAATTTAGCTATTTCCAGAGCAGTGATGAAGCCCACTGCATGTTTGTTGATCTCATTCAGTTGGCTGCCTCTCCATGTTTGTTAGTCTCATTCATTTGGCTGCCTCTCCGTGTTTGTTAGTCTCATTCAGTTAGGTGCCTCTACATGTTTGTTAATCTCATTCAGTTGGGTGCCTCTCCATGTTTGTTAGTCTCATTCAGTTGGGTGCCTCTCCATGTTTGTTAGTCTCATTCAGTTGGGTGCCTCTCCATGTTCGAGTATAATTTTTATGTATTGTTTTTACACCTTGTCCTCTTCTTCTTATATCCTATATCCCCATGGTTTTAATTTTATTTTTTTATCATGAAGTCTACCAGTTAGGTCTATTTGTCTCCCACTCCGCTGTCGTTTTAAGTAGTCATTCTAAACATTGTTTTATCTTGTTGTTCTTTAACGTTGTCTGTCCGATGTCCACACGAGTCTGTCCTATATGTATTCAATATTTCTTGTGTTGTAGCAATCAGTTACACCACTGCTGGCTTGTTAGGCCCCTAATGTGATTGGGCAGGAAAAATCTGCCCTGGTTGGTGCCTGACTCCTTCCAGGCAAGCCATTGCCCTGTTAGCCTGAAACCTCACAGCTTCAGTTTTCCTGCATGCGCCATGAGCAGATTTGGTTGACATGGGTGCTCTACGGGTTCTTGGCAAGCTACTTAAATTTCACTTTTCACCTCCCTGAAGAGAAGCTGGTCAACCTTACCAGTGCAGGCTGCAGTGTCAAGTGCCTGAGCACACTGTCAGGGTGAATAGATAGTATTACAACTGATATGCTCCTTGCATGTGAGACAACAGCAATGGCTTGGTTGACCAGAATCTTTAACATAGCTTGGGAGGCATAGAAGGTTCCACATGACTAACAGAGCAATCATTGTCCCCATTCGGAAGAATAAGGGGACAAACGAGACTGTGAAACATGCAGGGCTTCTCCATCTTGAGCCATATTAGAAAAGTGTTTGCAAAAATATTGGAATTTAGAGCTCAACCATTACTAGAGCCCCAGTTAAATAATAAACAATTTGGTTTCAGGAAAAAAAATAGCTGTACAGATGCAATATTTTCTCTAAGGCAGATATGTTAGCAGTCTATTGAATGTGATAAAAGTAACCACCTTATATTTATAGATCAAGAGAAGACATTTGATCGAGTCAGCAGATGCAAACTATGGACAATTCTAGAAGATTATGAAATTCAAGATCAAGATGTTGAGTAACATCATGGCTTTTAACCAAAATAGGCAGTGCACTGTAAGAACAATAGAAGGAATGACAGACTGGTTTTCCATCTCACCATGTGACAGACAGGGATGTGTCTTTGCCATCTCATCAGGTGTCAGACAGGGATGTGTCCTCTCACTACTGCTGTTCATTACTTACATGGATAGAATAAAACAGGAGGCAAATACAGACACTGAAGAAATCAATTAACTTCTTTTGCAGATGATCAGTATCTAATATACCACCAAGAACAGAATTTACAACACCATATTGAATCCTTATATCAAACCTGCACAAAGTATGGTATGAGAATTAACACTACGAAAACTGATGTAATAAGGATAGGCAGGAAACATAGTATCATGAACTTTCATTATAATGGTACTGCAATCAAACAAGTATGAAAATTCAAATATCCAGAAAGTATATTTACAGAGCATGGCAGACTCGATAGAGAGATAGAAGCCAAAGTACAGAAGGCAAATGCTGTCACCTACCAGTTAGCCCCACTGCTCAGACACCCAAATGTCTCCCTTCCAGCTAAACAGTCAGTCAGTCAGTAGCATGTCCTTTGCAGAACCTTGCTCCCATAGCAACCCTCCAGAAAATTTCTCGGTCACAAGCAAGATGTCCCGCGTCCGATACACCCATCTGGAGATCATCCGCCACATCCAGCAAAACAGCAAATGATTTATAGCATCTTTATCCTTATTTTATATTATCAGAGCCAAACATGGACAATGAATAAGGTACTAGAACAGAAAATAACATGTGAAATGCACTGTCTCCGCAAGGTCAATAACAACACAAGAAGAGACATGGTTATGAATACCAGCATTAGAGAGAAAAAGCTGGAATAAGATCATGTCTGGTTAATATTGACAGACAAAGAATGAAACGTTTGGCTATCTAGTGAGAATGCAGCCAGGCCAAACTGCATATTAGACTTCTTACAGCAGAACATCTGGGAGCAAAGCAAGAGGAATACTGATAAATAATGTAGCCGAAACCTGCAGAAAATTAAACAAATCCATCTCCTAAACTACCCAAGAAGTGCAAGACAAATACAGAAAACTACGACCTGTTTCAGTGATACGACAGAAGAAGAAGAAGTGACGGAAAATACCTAAAAAAACTGAAGTGGACAATTACAGAATGAAGATGGCAGCATGTGCCCCAGTGAAAATTGGACCTGAAGTTACACAATTTATATGTTTAATGTCTATAACTATTATGTTTTTTTTTTTTTTTTTTTTTTTTTTTTTTTTTTTGAACTTGAAATTAATGTATTAAACTATTATTTTGTTAGGAAACATTATTTTCAAAATATATTTACTAACTGGGTATTTCTTTTACTTATACACAGTATACCCAACACTGGATGACTGATTCTTTGGTAACTGTAGGGTGTCCTCATAAAACATCTGTACAGTTAAACAGGGTTTATGGGATTTGCACCGGTTGGAGTTTCATCCGATTGTGGCTTTTTAAATTATTGGTTGACAGTCTGTTAGCCTGCGAGCCTGTAGAGGAAACTTCAACAAGAAGGAAAGAGTATCTGCTTTTTCTTCTTTTTCTCATCCAGTAATTGAAGATTATTTTGATTTTTAAACTTTATCTATTCCTCCTTCTTCATAATCACTGCTGTAAACTCTGGTGGAAAGTTCAGGTTGTTCGTTCACCTCTGGACTTTGCTCTTGTTCCAGAACTTGAGTTTTGTGTGCACATCTGTTTTACAAATGTGGCTTATTTTTATGCAGATTGTTGGTTTCTCACCTCTCAGACAGGTCAACTATGACTTGGTCACCTTTTACGACATACTTATTAGTGGGGGCAGTGAGTCTAATCTCTTTTCCTAAAAATTGACCCTGGAACCCACACTGGGTTATTACTTGAAATTAAAAAGGCTGTTCTTTTACTCTATCCAGGCATTTGTACCAGTTGAGCAAACAGCTGCCTCTTATCCACAAAATGGAGCTTGGAGGGAACATGCAGGACAATGGTGAACCATACTGCTCACCTACTGACTGCCATACTGGAGATTCAGCCAACATAGACAGTAGAAGTAATTTAGAGGAAGCTGAGCAGGAAATATCTCAGTTATCTCTATGTGAAGAGGCGGATAGTGAGACTGATAACTCCCTCCTGATCACTAGTCTTCCAGAAGTGGTGCTGGTTGATATAATGAAATACCTTTCGTTAAGTGACAGATACCATTTAAGCATGACTTGTCGGTTATTCTACAGTTTGTTCAGCCATGCTCATTTGTGGCGTGTGGCACACATCAGTCTTGTAACCCAGGAGAATTATTCAGGTGGAGGATGCCACAAGTGGAGGTTGGAATCGGTCATGCATGAAACAATGACTGAGATTGTTCGCAGGTTTTCTCACCTGTTTCAGCACTTGTCTCTGGAACTGTTTCATCATGTCCAACCATTTGATGATAATTGTCGAAAAATGCTGGAACGATTAAATCAGGATTGTCGTTTGGAAAGTCTGTGTCTTCGACTTGGATCCTTAGCTTCTAACGATGAATACATTCAAAGAGCATCTGCTCAAAGTAACAACTTTGATGATCTACCCCTGATTGTAGGTTTAATTAAGAAAGCTGTTCGTCTGAAAAAATTAAGTATCATATCCTGGCCACTTCACGACAGACAGATTCATAATCATGACATATTTCAAGCTCTTTTAGGCAATGAAAAAATAGTCGGTCTGGAATCTTTAAGTATTTTTTATATTGGATCAAAGTCTGAGGCTTGGACTGAGCGATATCCCAAGTTACCTTCACCTGAGATAACCCTTCAGCTGGTCTCACACTTCTTCAGCCTCACACATCTGGCTTTGAGGTCTCCTATGCTGAACAATGAGATCATCCTTGAACTTGCTTCCAGAAAGAGAAACAGGCTCTCCCTACTTCAGATCCTGATTGTCTTTTGCAAAGACTCTGCTTTCCAGGAAGGATACAAAATTCCTGAAATTTCTTCTAAAGCTTGGAATGCCTTGAAGAGATCCGCACCAGAGTTGAAAGTAGAGTATCTGGCATTTACAAGAATACCTCAAGAACAAATGAATTTAATGCTGAAACCAGAAGTGCCTCTGTCTTCATTGACTGTTCTAACCTATGGCAGGTGTGATCAAGAATTGATCGAAACCCTTACGGAGCATTACAAACATACCTTAGAGAAGTTTACCTGTCTGTGTGAAGCATCAGATTGTGATCAAGCCTTGGTTAACCTTGTGAGCTCCTGCAGTCAGCTTCAACATTTAATTTATCATGGGAGTGTCAATTTTAAAACGGTCATCAAAATAGCTGAAATTATTAAGCAGAGGGGTCTAACGTTTGGTTGTTTTGAATTTAAAGAAAGTAACATACAGACAAATAATGATGCAGAAGTCAGGAATGACGATGTTGTGGTTGCTAGAGAGGCAGATAGTGAAGCGTATTATCTAGTAGGTGTAAGATCATGGCATGAAGATGAAAACCAGCGAAGATCTATCTTGGATGAAATGGCTGAGGTGGTGTCTCGTGCTCTTGGCTACAGATGGCGACCTTTGATTTGAACATCTGACAACTTGTATTGGGGTGGAGGGGGGGGGGGGGTGTGTTAATTTCTGAGTTGTCTGCTCTTGTAAGCTTAGTTTCTTACTCTTGGTATTTCTGATTTGTATGCTCTTGTAAGCTGTTGTCTGCTTTTGGCATTGCTGAGTTATCTAATCTTGACTCTGCTGAGTTGTTGATTCTTGACATTTATGTGTTTTTTCCCTTGTAAGCTGAGTTGCCTGCTCTTGACTCTGCTGAGTTTTTTGCTCTTGATATTGCTGAGTTGAATGTCTTTGACTCTGCAGTCTGCCGAGTTGTCTGTTCTTATAAGTTGAATTGTATGCTTTAGACTCTGCTAGTTATCTGCTCTTAACTCAGCTGAGTTGTCTGTTCTTGTAAGCTGAGTTGTCTGCTCTTGCATCTGCTGGCTTGTCTGTACATGTAAGCTGAGTTGTCTGCTCTTGCATCTCCTGAACTGTCTGTTATCTGCTTTCGGCCTTACTGTGTGCTCTTGACAGTACTGAGTTTTCTGCTTTTGGCAGCCCACTTCCAGCCTTTTGAAGGTATTGGGTTCTTCTTCTTCTTTTACTTTGTGCTCGCCGGCTGTGAACTCCGACAGAATGTTTTAATCTTGTTTCAGAACCTGAGTGTTGCTACCCTCTTGGTATGCGAATCAGGCAGATGTACTCTGACTTTGACTTGGTGCTATAGAAAATCACTATGTTGGTATCTATAGGAGGTCACTATAATTTGGTGCTATAGAAGGTCACTATAATTGGTGCTATAGAAAGTTACTATAATTTGGTGCTATAGAAGGTCACTATCATTTGGTGCTATAGAAGGTGACTATCATTTGGTGCTATAGAAAGTCACTATAATTTGGTGCTATAGAAGGTCACTATCATTTGCTGCTATAGAAGGTCACTATCATTTGCTGCTATAGAAGGTCACTATCATTTGGTGCTATAGAAGGTCACTATCATTTGCTGCTATAGAAGGTCACTATAATTTGGTGCTATAGAAGGTCACTATCATTTGGTGCTATAGAAGGTCACTATCATTTGGTGCTATAGAAGGTCACTATCATTTGGTGCTATAGAAGGTCACTATCATTTGGTGCTATAGAAGGTCACTATCATTTGGTGCTATAGAAGGTCACTATCATTTGGTGCTATAGAAGGTCACTATCATTTGGTGCTATAGAAGGTCACTATCATTTGGTGCTATAGAAGGTCACTATCATTTGGTGCTATAGAAGGTCTCTATCATTTGGTGCTATAGAAGGTCACTATAATTTGGTGCTATAGAAGGTCACTAAAATTTGGTGCTATAGAAGGTCACTATAATTTGGTGCTATAGAAAGTCACTATAATTTGGTGCTATAGAAGGTCACTATCATTTGGTGCTATAGAAAGTCACTATAATTTGGTGCTATAGAAGGTCACTATCATTTGGTGCTATATAATGGGTCTATCATTTGGTGCTATAGAAAGTCACTATAATTTGGTGCTATAGAAGGTCACTATAATTTGGTGCTATAGAAAGTCACTATAATTTGGTGCTATAGAATGTCACTATCATTTGCTGCTATAGAAGGTCACTATCATTTGGTGCTATAGAAGGTCACTATCATTTGGTGCTATAGAAGGTCACTATAATTTGGTGCTATAGAAGGTCACTATCATTTGGTGCTATAGAAGGTCACTATCATTTGGTGCTATAGAAGGTCACTATCATTTGGTGCTATAGAAGGTCACTATCATTTGGTGCTATAGAAGGTCACTATAATTTGGTGCTTTGGAAGGTCACTAAAATTTGGTGCTATAGAAGGTCACTATAATTTGGTGCTATAGAAAGTCACTATAATTTGGTGCTATAGAAGGTCACTATAATTTGGTGCTATAGAAAGTCACTATAATTTGGTGCTATAGAAGGTCACTATCATTTGGTGCTATAGAAGGTCACTATAATTTGGTGCTATAGAAAGTCACTATAATTTGGTGCTATAGAAGGTCACTATAATTTGTTGCTATAGAAAGTCACTATAATTTGGTGCTATAGAAGGTCACTATAATTTGGTGCTATAGAAAATCACTATAATTTGGTGCTATAGAAAATCACTATAATTTGGTGCTATAGAAGGTCACTATCATTTGGTGCTAAAGAAGGTCACTATAATTTGGTGCTATAGAAAGTCACTATAATTTGGTGCTATAGAAGGTCACTGTAATTTGGTGCTATAGAAAGTCACTATAATTTGGTGCTATAGAAAGTCACTATAATTTGGTGCTATAGAAGGTCACTATAATTTGGTGCTAAAGAAGGTCACTATAATTTGGTGCTATAGAAAGTCACTATAATTTGGTGCTATAGAAGGTCACTATCATTTGGTGCTAAAGAAAATCACTATAATTTGGTGCTATAGAAGGTCACTATCATTTGGTGCTATAGAAGGTCACTATAATTTGGTGCTATAGAAGGTCACTCAAACAGGTAATGTTTTGTGTGTGTATGGGCGGGCGTATGTCTGATTTGTCTCTTCAAAGTTGATTTGGTTGAAACAGGTAACTCCTCACCCTTATATCCGATGCCAAGCCAACTAGGATGACCCAGCTTGTCTTTTTTTATTTTATTTATTATTACAGCAGTTAGACAGGTCCTGTTTTAATCTAGAAGGCACAGAAACAACACGGCTGTTTTATTCTGTTTTATATTGATACTCATTTACAAATTTCCCCACCTCAATTCATATTTTGAACATGCATTAGCACTAGTTATAAAGTTTAATTTATTTTTGTGCAGATAACATTGTGTTTCCCTCTGTCTTATTGCATTGCATATTATTTTTCATGGTTTTGCTTTTAATCAGTTTACAACTTTTTTTATATTTATGGCATATAATTCTCATTGCTGTGCTAATAAATTATTTTACCTGCTTTTTGTTTTGCATTTTAATTTACGTTCCTTATGTTTTATTCGCAAGCTGAAATATTTTGGTCATATCAAGCACCACAACGGATTAGAAAAATTATAGCACAAGGCATGGAACCAGGAAGGAGGGGCAGGGGCTGACCGACACTAAGATGGGCACAGGATATAAGTGACTCCTTGAGTAGGAAAGTGCATGAGGCGGGAGAGCTGGCGAGAGACCGTGATGAGAGCGACGTTCTGCAAGGACTTGCTGCATGATGATGATATATTTTATCACTGCAGTAAAGTAAATCTGGCAGCAAAGATCCTGCAGTCTCATGCACTTATTGTGGAAGATTCATGTAAGTGCCAGCTGGTCCTGCTGCTAGTCACAAGTCCTGTTAATCTGTGATTCCCATAGCTTCTTTTAGAACATTGGGATACTATCATCTGGACGGATTTTTAAAAAGTTCAGACAACAAAACAATAAACACAGGTTTGTTGTTGGTGTTGCCATCTGTAGCTCAGGCATTGTGAACATGAGTTTGATCATCACTGCAGGCAGTTTAGCAGCTGACTGCCTTGCAGTGGTTTCAGCAGTGGTATAAAGTACAGACCTTTCAGAAGCAGTGGCAAACTACCGAATGTAAGTTGCCTAGGAAAACCACACAAAAAAATGTGTGGATTGGTTCTGCAACGTCCTTTAAAGGACATGCAACTTTTTTTTCTTAAATATGCGTTTGTGTGTAGAATTCTTCTTCTTCTTTTTCTTCTTTCTTTTCTTCTTCTGCTTCTTGGCATTCACTGGCTGTAAACTTTGATGAATAATACTGGTTGTTTGTTCCCTTCTGGATGTTGGTTTTGTTCCAGTATTTGTGTTTTATGTTTGCATCCTATTTTGTAGATCTATTTTATTTCTATGCAGGCTGTTGGTTACTCACTTCTCATGCGCTCTTACTTAAATGAAAACCGTCCTAATTAGTCGACTTTTACGACATGCTTATAGGCAGTGGGCTTATTTTCCCTTGATCAGTTATAAAAATCCAGGGTGTTTAAGCTTATGGCCACCGAGTAGAAAGGTAAGCCTGCTACCATTGTGTCATCGCAACTCCCAAGTCATTACAAATATTGTTTACATGATTTTAGTAATTTGTCTAGTTAAGGGAGATAATCACTTGATACAAGGAATTAACTGCTTACCGTCTGTTTGACCATGAACCTGTTTTGGTGACCTTGTCACGTCCAGTAATGTCGCGTAGTGATGAGATATGTGACATCACGTTAGGTCACAATGACAAATAGATTTTTTTTTTTTACTGCAGATAATATCTCACAAGCACTGGCGGAAAATTGCTTAGAAAAGCTACAACAGCACGCGTGAGTGAGAGATCATGCATTTTTTCGTGTTTTCAGAGGGTCTTTGCTCGAATTAAATTTGAAGATACTGCTAACGAGAATATGAAGGTGCGTTTAAATTAGGGCTGTACCGAATAGTGATTTTCACTATTCGGCCGAATACGAATAGCGGGACCTACTATTCGGCCGAATACGAATAGTGTATAAAATATATATATTTTTTTTTTTAATTTGAAAACACATTCACAATGTCAAATGTACGCTGAACTTTTACTTCACATAAAGTAGCACAGAATAGTCTTCTTCTTTAGAATTCTGAGCCCTTAGGTTTACTGCTGCAGATATCACTCGTCTCCATTCATATCTCTGGCTGGCCTTATCTTCACAATTTGTGACACCAGTTGGCTGGACATTATCTCTTGAACTTATTTTTTGTCTGCCTCGTGGTCTGCGCCCTTTTCTCTCTTAGGTGTATACAGTTTTTACTTCTCTGTCATCTGACATTTTTTCAATATGCCCCAACCATTTTAGTCTGTTAGCTCTCATGATGCCAGTGATCAATGGTGATTTAAACAGATTATGTGTTACATTGTTACTTCTTACTCTCCATTCCCCGCTGTTAGCATCTTTAATGGGTCCAAAGATTTGTCGTAAGACTGTTTTCAAAACCTGTAATAAGGCCTCATCTCTTTTATTTCTGCTTCAAGTTTCAGAGCCATATAAAACGACTGGTCTTATCAACGTTTTATATATT